AAGCAAATCCTCATTACTACCACCCCCATCTCTAAAGGACAACATCCCTAACAGTGAAGTCTGTGCATCAGGCCAGGGAGGGAGAGATGGTGACCTACTCCACTGTCCCCCCAGAGTGCTGCACAGGAGGCTTCCCTGAGGGACTGATGTGAAGACAGCATGGGGACCATGACTCAACTCAGGATGGGCTCTGGGGTCTGGCCACCACTGGGGGCTGTGTAGAGTTTGGCTCTGCACTAAGTGTGGGGGTACATGGTATCTGCCAAAGAAGCAGAAAGAATGTCTAGCTATTGGTTTTGAAGTCTTAAAGAGCCAATTTCATTTGGCAATGGAGGGAAGGGAATGAGAATTTCCCAAATTTGGAGGCTCCAAATTAGATAGGAGATGTGCCCCATTTCCATTCTGGAGTTCTCAGAAAAAGAAAGACACCAAAGAATGGCCTGAGCTCCAGGGTTCAGAAGAGGACTATATGAGGGGTGTCAGGGTGAGCCCAAGTGCAAAGCTATGACATTCCCAAGAAAAGGTGTAAACAAATGATTTCCATGTAGCCAGGAGCACAGAGGACATGGGTTGAGTGGGAGAGGAAGGGGCACCACAAACCACAGTGTCACTTCCTGATTGGGACCAAAGGAGCATCCACTGGTGCCAGCAGGGGCCACACAGCAATTCAAGTGGGGACAGCCACCAGCTCAGCTCTTGCTGCTAACTGGTCAGGTGCCTGAGTCCACAAACCAAGAAAGAACAGTCATACCTGTCAGCTGACGCCAGTGTGGGCCAAAAGCAGATGTCCCCATGTCACCTTACAATTGACCCCAGGAAGAAAAAGGTACAAGGGAAAAGAGACTGGAAGATATGTGGAATCAACTGGATTACATTTTCTGCCATTGGTCACAACAGGAATTAATATATAGACTAAGCTTTGTACAAGTTAGTCAAGTTGTACTAATTTTGTATTCCTGAGTATTGGCTGTGTCAAATTTAAACTACACACAGTCATCCCTAAATACCCAATGGGGGCTGGCTCCAGGACCCCCCGCCCCAGATAACATAGAACCTGTACACATCCTCTCATGTGCCTAAAATTGTCACTAATTACTTGTGATACCTAATACAACGTAAATGCTATGGGTATTATTGTAAAGAAATAATAACAAGTGGGGGAAAGCTATGCATGTTCAGTTATAAAGGAACTTTTTAAAAAATATTTTCATTGCATGGCTGGTTAAATCCAAGATACACACTGATACAGAACTGGAAAATTAGGGAGGACTGACTGTACAAAAATAATGAATGTGACACTTGCATAGATTAAAAGAGTGTTGTCCTGGGCCATCTGCCCCTACAGGCTGGGATTTGCCTCTGGGGCAGGATTTTATTCTCAGGCACAGGAAAAACCTACAGGACTCAGAGCTGTGCAGTGACTGGCCCAATACTGCATGTCAAAAAGTACTAGGCCTTGGACAGGTACAATGGCTCATGCCTGTAATCCCAGCGGCTTTGGAGGCTGAAGCAGGAGGATCGTGAGTTCAAAGCCAGTCCCAGCAAAAGCAAAGTGCTAAGCCACTCAGTGAAACCTATCAAATACAAAATAGGGTTGGGGATGTAGCTCAGTGGTCTAGTGCCCCTGAGTTCTATCCCTGATACCAAAAAGCAACAAAAAATGGACAGGATAAAAACCAGTGCATATGCCATGAAACGTATCCTATTGCTCAAAATATGTTAAAAATCTTCAGGAAGTTGCCAGAGTAGTCTCTTCTTGGGATATGACCAAAGATTTCTGATGAGAGATCACAAGGGCACAGAGGCACCCCTGAGTTTGGGAGTCTAACATCAAAAACTCATGGTCTATCATCCACACTTGAAGCAACGGGGGGCCAGCAGGACACCAGGCTCATTCCCAGGAACCCTTCACCAGCCTCACAACCCAGCTCCCAAAGGATTCTGAGAAATAAAAACTTCCACAAAATAGGAAGCAAAATTTCTCCAACTTTTTAAACCATCAGTTGAGATTTTATGGAATTTTCTTTTCCAATATACAAACAATAGGAATTATTCTCCTTCTCAAAATATAGCATTACATGCAATATTGGATGTCTTTTTCTAACTTCATTCCTACCTACCCCCATCCCACACCCAGAACATTTCTGGTACACTTTATAAGACCCAAGTAGGAGCCAGCCAGAGAGGCTGTCCCCAGGGGTGTGCAGGGATACCTCATAGTGGGGTTTTGATTTGCATTTCTGCAATCACTAACGATAGTGGGTCCTTGTTTCCATGTGTTCATTGGCCTCTTTGATATCTTCCCCCAAGTTCTGCAATCCATCTTTCTGCACATTGGCAAGAATCCTCATTAGAAGGGTGTGACTCCTAGAAAACCTGAAAGTGACTTGTTTGGTGGGATGGAGGGTCCAAAGGCACTAAACAGACAACTGGCATCAAAACATTTATAGGATTTCTCTGACAGGAGGAGAAATTGCCCTTTCTTAATATGTCTTATTTGAAAATGAAAATAGCACAGGCTTTTCCCAGAGACAGAAAACCCAGCTTGGATTGGCCCTGGGCTGGCAGAGCTCCCTTGACTATGCCATGGTGGTTTGGGCTCAATAGAGCATCTGGATCTTCCCTCTCTAGCTTCTCCACAGTGATATTTTGTGCATGTATGAAATGAAGGAGTCAGGGAGAGGGGAGGAAGATGGCCAAAAATTTATCTCATGGCTTCTCACGCTGGAAACCCAGACCTAACTTTAAAGCTTCCAGGGACAGGGCAGGGCTGTGCCTCCACGGTAGAGTATGTGCCTTGCACACTTGTGGCCCTGGGTTCAACCCCAGCACCAAAACCAACACTCGCAGCTGCTGTCCAGTCTCTCTCTACAAAGATAACTAAGTCAAATTCAAACATTTTAGATTGTTTCCCACAGAAAACAGGGGTTTTAAGAATTTTAACAGGCAGACCCTCTGAGGCTTCTGAAAGTAGCCAAGCAGTTGGACTCATTCCCTCCTCTCACCATCAAGGTCTTATCCTCAAAGACCTTGGAACAAAACTCAGGCAGCCGTCCCTATCCAGGGGTTCTAAATCAGGGAATACAACTGACCTCAGAGTGTACTGAGACCTAGAATGGCTGTGTCGGCACTGACCACGGACAGACTTCTCTTCTTGTTCTTATTCCTAGGAAATGCAGTATAACAACTACTTCCATAGCATTTACATTGTATTAGTTATTGTCCGTCATACAGAGAGGATTTAAGGTATACAGGAGGGCTACATCGGTTCTATGCAAAGGCAACATTATTTTATATAAAGGACTTGAGCATCCAAGGGGTTGGTGTCTGTGGGGGGCCTAGAACCAATCCCCCCAGATTCTGAGGGGGATCACTGTACCCAATGCTGAAACTGCCTAAAACCCCACTCCCTGAAAGAGAACTTGTTCTAGGGCCCAGTGCATCACAGTGAATGTCCATCACCAGTGCCGGACCCTGAACTCTAAATACAAGCTTCCACCTGACCATGGAGTCTCACGTAGTCCACCCACGTGAGTCAGTTCATGAGTACAGGGTGGAACAGCCCTCAGGACAGTGCCTTTCATGGGGCATGGGCCTCCAGCCACTGCCTGCAAAGGACATGGGACCCAGAGACAGCTGCCTTCTATGACTTCTTGGTGGAATTTATAATATTCATTTTGGTGTCAAAAAACTTTTTCCTTAAAAACTCTCTTTGGGTGAAAAAGGGCATGCATTTAGAAAACAGCCATTACTACTGAAATGACTACTGCTAAAAGTTCAGGCAGCCAAAGCAAAAACAGATTGGACTTTGTCAAAATCATAAACTGTTTGTGCTTCAAGGGGCAACAAGAAGGGGAAAAAACCCAACCCACAGAAGAGACAGAAGTAAAATCACTCTGATATGGGACTCATATCCAGAATATATAAAGAACAATTACAACTCAATAAGTAAAAGGTAAGGGACAAGGACATGAATAGACATTTCTCCAAGGATGTAAAAAGGCCAACAAACATGAAAAGCTGCTGAACATCATTAGTGATCAGGGATACGTGGATCAAAACCCCAATGAGAGGCCACTTTACACCCACAAGAAAGGTGGCTATGTCAAAAAGACAGAAACAATGTTGGCTAGGATGGGGAGAAACTGGATCCTTCATAAATGGCTGGTGGGAAAGTAAAAAAGGTGACAGTTTGTAAACTATTTGGCAGTTCCTCAAAATGCCAAACTTCAAGTTTTCATACAACCCATAAATTCACTCCTATGTGATACCCAAGAGAAATAAAAATATATATTCACAAAAAGTGCATAATGTTCATGCAACGTTACTAATGATTTTCTCAATTTGTCATTCTAGCCAAAGCAATACTCAATCTAAAATTCCATCCACTGGTGAATAGATAACAAAACACCCTACAACATATCCATATAATGGAATATTATTGATTGGCAAAAAGCAATGATGCATAGATACACACTAAGATGTGAATGAAGCTTAGGAAGGTAATGCTAAGCGAAGAAAGCAAAGGACCACACAGTGACATGTGGAGATTCCACTCCCGTGATGTGTCTAGAATAGGCCAATCTTTAGGGAGAAAATACAGATCACAGCTGCCTGGGCTGAGGGGTGAGTGAAAGAGGGGAGACTATTAATGGATAGTTTCTTTGGGGGGGGGATTGTGGTGGTGGTAGAAGTCTGTAAATATATTAAAAATCACTGAATTGTGTACTTTAAATGAGTGACTTTTATGTTTGTAAATTATGTCCCAACAGAACTGTTAAAAAATAATAGGCAAGACCACAGAGAAACTGAATAGTAAACAAAATTGATTTCATAAACCAACATACCACACACAAACATAAGCATATAGACATTCTGAGCAGAAGGGACTTGCACTGAGGCTCAGCACTGATATCGACTCTGCCACCTGGGGAGCAGGAGAATTTCTTAACTCTGTGATCAATTTACATGTCCTTATATGAAGTCATCAACACATCAGGTTTTCTTCCCTGAGATGATTTTTTTATTGAACAATTACTTCATCAAATCCCTGAGATAATTTTATCCAAACATTTTCACGTAAAGAGAAAACACTAGCCATTCATTGCAAACAGCACAATGTTCACAGCACCCCCATCATTTTAAAGGGAACATTCCAGAATCACACACAGAGCACCATTCAGCTGCAGATGCCAGTCCATTTCTGTGGTCTAGCCCTCTTTGCAGAGAACCCAGATGCAAAGAATGAGGGTGTGGGGCCTCATGACTTCTCCGTCTAGAATTCTAAACTCTACTTCTATTCAATTGGACCCTTCCCTCTATGTAATTGGTGTAAGAGAGATAAAACTCCAGTGGACACTCCAGAAGAAACCCCTCTGGAGAGAACAGTTTCCCAGGTCAGTAATTGTGCTTCACTTATATTCCCAGGGTCCAGCACAGAACTTATCCCTGAGAAAGCACACATTCGTTGTATGACAGGATGGATGGATGGATGGATGGATGGATGGATGGATGGATGGAAAGATGGACAGAAAGAGAGATGGATGGATGAATGAGTAGATAAATGGAGAAATAATTAGAAGGAAAGAGGGAATGGGGGTGGAGACTGGATGGGTGGAAGCTAAATGAATGGATAGATGGATGGAGAGATGAATCAATGGGGAGATATAAAGATTAGGTGATATATGGTTGGGGAGATGAGTAGAGAAAGGGAGGGAATGAGGGTAGCTAGATAGATAGATGGACATATAGACAGACAGATGAATGGACCGCTGGATTCTTGGATGAAAATATAAGTAACAGAGGACCCACCACATGTGTCCTTTGACCACTCAGAACCACAGGTGCACTTCTAGAACTGGGGACTACTGCTGGTCTCCTCACCACCCCAAGGTTTGAGGCTCCAGGAAAGGCTTTGATTACATCACTAAGAAGATAGAAGCCCATTGTACAGGGCTCTGCCCAGGAACTGTGCCAGCTGTGCTCTATGGGCACTAGGGACACAGCGGCAACCAGAAAGGCTAGGGTTGACCCTGATGGAGGCTCTTGGAGCAACAGTGGGATGTAATGAAAAAAAAAAAAAAAAAAAAGTTGCAGAAGCACCAGTTCATGGTTCTATCACTTGAGAAGGAAAAGAGAAGGAGGTCAGGAGGAACACCTGAACTGAAACCAGATGTATGGGTAGGAATCAACTTGACTGACCTCGTGTGTGTGTGTGTGTGTGTGTGTGTGTGTGTGTGTGTAGAGAGAGAGAGAGAGAGAACACGCATGTCCAAGGCAGTGAGTGGCACGTGAGCAGACCCCAAAGAAGGAGAGCTGAGATCCACCATCCTAGGCAACCAGGACACAAAGGGCAAGGAGTACAACAAGCTGGGCCCATGACGACAGGCCCCTGGGTTCTCAAAGGCCACAATAAGCCACCAAGGGGTTGGGGGGGGGCCCTCAATGATGTGATCGGATCTGCCTTCACCTAGAAGTGGGCTGAATGTGGGCTGTCTGCCTCAGTGATGTGGCTCCCTGGCTGCTGAGCCACACAGCAAGCCCACTAATCCCCACAGAGAGCAGCAGTGGAGCTGTGGAGCTCTGGCCTGTGGCGCAGGGGCGTGGGCTGCGAGCACTGGCCAGAGTCGCCCAGAGCCCTTCTTCCAACTCAGGCCTGAGGTGCAGCAAGCCAGGGTGCACCGGCCTGTGGATCTCACGGTGGGTCTGCCTAACTGGGTGGACAGTCGCTCCACACAGTGCCAGCTCTGAACCACCTGAGCATCCACGATCCACTTCCTAGGATGTTGAGATTATACGCAATAGGTGAGAAAATGGAATCGGGGCAGATCTTAATGGAGTTCAGACTCATGGATGGGCCAATAGCATCAGTGCTTTTCCAAAACCTGATGAGCACAAATTTGGACCAATTGCCTTGAACCAAGTGCTCTATAAACCCCTAGATTAGCAGCAACCTCTCTTGGGTCCCCACTTGTCCTGCAGACGTTCTATCTCTATTCACACCTGAATAAATCCTACTCTTATATTCCCTCATCCTCATCTGTGGATTTCACTCTTCAGAATCAGGAGTCAAGAACCCAGAAAGAAGAAGGCAGTGGCGAGCGGCTGTGGTCTGCTGCGACACTGGAGGGGACAGCCACCATTAAGAGTTGGAACCTGTTTCTCAGCTGCAGAGGCCTGCAACTTATGCAGATCCCACCTGCCAGCCAAAGGGGGAAACCCCCAGTTTCACCAGGAAGGTCTGCCAGCTTTCCCTAGGAAACCTCATTGCACATCAGCAATGGCAGGGCCCAAAGGCAGAGAAATCTCTACCAGCAGCTCCCAGAGAGCAGGCTCTAGGGCCCAGAAGCCTCCTGGATCCTGAAAGGCAGGCAGCAGTGGGAAACATTCAGCTGGCTTTACCAGCCTGGGGCAGATGGTGGCTGGGCTCTGTGTCCCTGCATGGCCAGGCACAGGCCATCAAGCAGGCTCTGGAGCTATTTGAGAAGGGGGAAGTTAAGGTCACATATGGATCAGCCCATTACTTTTAGTGACTTTTACTATCACACTGGGAGCCACCCATATGTCAGAAAGGCCATCAGCCCAAATAGTGCCCAGTGGCTTCCCATCTAAGTTAGGTGATAGCGGACACCCACTTATAACCCACTAAAAGTCCTCCTATATATGGGCTGAGATAGGCATGAGGCCTTTGGTAGGTAAAATCCTGGCCAGGTCCTGCTCTCAGGGAGCTCTGAAGTCACCAAAGGCTCCCAGGAAAGGAACCTGTCCCCTTGGAAACCTCTGGTGTCCATGATCTCATGGTCCCAACAGAGCTGAACCTGAAGAGGATTTCTATAGTACAGAGGGGGGACAGCATGGCCCTTCCCTGAGCTCACTTCCACCAAGGGAGGGAGATCTTCACATGGTTCCAGTGCAGCCTTGCAAATTTACCCTGAGGTATAGAAATCATGTTAGTTTAACCAGTAATCTTCTGAAATCTTTTGGAACTGCCAACAATTGGGAAAAATTTTCCAAAACTCTGTAGAGTGCTCCATGCTTAATGAAGCCCTTTCTCTGTCTCCAGTACTGGGCACACACTGGAAGCCTGAGGTAGTAGCCTGTGGCCACTATTTCAAGAACAAGAGGCTAGGCAGAGCCACATGGCTCTTGGGCCTGGATCCTGGGGAGCAAGCCAAGCCTCTGGAGGAGTCAGGAGCTGGGCAGCATGTGTTTCTGCCACAGCTTCCCCACCAGCCCAGGGACCGCCACTGTCCTCTTAACTTCCTTCCCTTCCAGCTCAGCCCAGCAAGGCCTCGTGGGTAGTCCAACTTCCTTTTCATTCTCTGCACAATCTTGATCGTTCTTCATATTTTCCAGTTCTTCTCCACAAATCTGCTCCTGAAACCAGAAAGGAATTCATAAGCATTCCAATTAACCACCACAATGAGGTCATCCTGGACATTCAGGGTCTGTGGGTGTCCTGCCCTGGTCATCCTGCAATTCATATTGAGGTTTAAAATGATAAGCCAAGTTCAAGCACCCCCAACCAGCCCCAGAGAAACCACATTTTATATACAAGAGTGTGTATTTACTAAACAGACTGAAGAACAGCCCAGCCCCAGGAGATTTGAGAAAGGGAGACAAAGAAGCCTTGCAATCGACCCTCCATGTCTGCTCCTCATCCACAGATTCAATTAACCATGAATTGACTATATACTTTATTTCTTGTCCTTATTCCCTAAACAATACAGAAGAATGGCTACTTGCAAAGCAATTAGACTGCGTTAGGTACTAAAGGTCATCTAGAGATGGTCTGAGGTATAGGTAGGATTGCAAAGGTTATATGCAAATATACCACCGTTTGATATAAGGGACTTGAGCATCCCTGGATTCTCATATACAAGGGGGTCATGGAACCAGTTCTCCACAGATACTAAAAGACAACCATAATTTAAAAGCTGGCACTTTTGCTTGAGTGTGCAGGCACACTGTCAGGCATTACAATGCCCTGGACCCCTGCTGAATCCTTCAAGAGCCTTCAAGTTTAAGACAGGATAGGGGGAAGAAGCCAAGCACAATGTTCTCTGCTCAGTGGACTGGTAGGCTCTTCAGTTTACCAGTCTTTCTGTTGTGAACTGAAGAGTATGAGAGCCCCTTTCTGCCTGATGGTTGGAACTAATGTCAGACACAATGCAGCTTTCCAAGGCAATCCAGCATTTACTGGGATGTTTTATGCCTTCATGTTGAATCTTCTACTGCAGAATAATCTATTCACCAAATTGAGCAGTATTGCCCTACAATGTACAATTGTTAAGTTTGGGAGTTTAACATAATTACTCACTCCTTAGGGACTGAAGAACAAAGACTTTTCTGTACCAGAACAAATGAATCTTATCACAATTACACTATGTGGGTAAGTATCTGGTATGGCTTAAAAAAAAAAAAAAATACTGAACAACCAGCCACCAAGAAATATTCAGCAACCATCCTTCCCCAAGACTCCACTTTACAATTACTCTGGATTATGCAAAAACTTAATACAATATTCCATTTTTGTGCAATCTGCTCTGGAGAGGCAGGGGAGGAAAGCAAGACAAATTTGTCTTGCTTTTGTTCTGCCTGAATGACACTGGTCCACGGCAGAATTTGAAATTCAGATTTTTCAGTATTTCCTTAACGATGCAAGACTACGGCTGATTCCCATGTGTTCTCGGTTTCATTTTGGCTCATTAGAGCCTGTCTAGCTTAGAGAGAAGACCACAAAAGTCTAATTACAAAGGTTCTCCTCATCCCACCCTTCCCCCTGTGCCATATAGATTCTAAGGATAAACCAATACAGCTGACTGCCAAGGAGAAGCCCACAGCCAGGTCATCTAGGAAGCTATCTTGCAGGTTCAGGTCACAGCTTCAGGAAACAAGGGCAACATAATTACCAAAGAAACAAGAAGTTCATGAGATAACACACCACTGCCATACCTGTGGCCGTCTCCATCAGCAAACTCTGTGGGTCTGTCACCCAGAGAAGTCTGCCCAAGATTGCTCAGGTCCTCCTTGGAATTTCCAGGGTGAACTGCCCTCCCTAAGCAAGAAAAGAGGATAAACAAATGGGGGCTGGTTCCAAGGGGCTGAGCAATTTAACACCTGGGGGATCCTTCCAAATGTACCGATGGCCCTAACCTCATTCATCTTCTTGACCTTCACATTAATCCTTGCTACACTGCTCTCCAGAGGATGAGAAGAGATGCCAGGTGCCAGCAGACATAAAGTGGTGGTACTACTCAAGCATTTCTGAGCTAGACTTGAGATCTGTTCTTCAAACAAGAACAATTCAGGCATTCAATGGAGTCAAGTTTCCAGTCCCTTCTCTGCCTCCGGATGAGGTTACTCAAGAAAGGCCATACCACCATGTTAATTGAGCCTCACCCCCAATCCCCACCAAATAGAGATGACTGTCTTGTCCTACTGTGTGCCTTCCCACTGAACACCCCCAAATCCATGGGGGTTCAGATTCCTAGGGAAAAATGCATGTTTGCCTTCAATCTGAAAATATATATGCAACACATATATATATAGACATTCAGCTGGCTTTACCAGCTAAAATATAAACACATTATTTAATTGTTATCAATACGAGTACATTTTTAAGTTTCTTTAGAGAACTATAAAATTAGCAAAATTTGGTTTGACAAAATTTAACTCTAAGCTCTTTAAAATATCAGCACACTTTAGTTCTCTCTGATAAATCAAGTTTTTATATCATACAGCAGTAGTTGTTCATGTACTTTATTAGCTTAGAAATGAGTTCAGAAGCCTTCTCAGTCTAATTCACTACTGTATCCCTGGAACCTAGGAAAGTGCCCAGTATATATAGATGTCTCATTACCAGATATTAAATAAATTGGTGAATGGATATGTGAATGAGTGAGGGAGGGACTGAAATGAATAATCCTTTACCAATTTTTCAACTTCCCTGAGGTTATTATGTGTTATGGACTACAACATGCTAATAAAATATTAACTTGAATTTTATTCCTAAACAATTAAGGTTCAGTGGATTTTTTTTAAGGGAATGCACTTATTTAGGAGCACAAGTACAAATAACTCAGAACCAACCACAGAAACAAGTCAAGGAGGCACTTATTTCCATCCAGGGCTGCAGTAGATGACAATGGCCACGAGATGGAGCCACACAACCTGTCAAAGAGCAGCAGTACAGAAAAGGCGTCCAGACTCGTGATTTTGCCCTCCACACTGTCCAGCAGAGCGTATCACAGGAAATGACTATTGCTGCTGTACTGTACAACAAGCTGAAGCAAGTTTAGAACTGAAGCTTGGGTCCGGGGATGTGACTCGGCGGTAGGGATCTCGCCTAGCATGCACAAGGCCCTGGGTTTGATCCTCAGCACCACAAAAATTGAAAAAGAATAATAAAATGAAATGAAAAAGCTAGACAGAGAAAGAATTGCAGTTTGCTGGACATCAGACTTTAGAAAAGGAAGCCTGCTTCCCCATCTCAAATTGTTCACATCTCTTTTCACACAGTTCCTCTTCTTAAAAAAAAAAAAAAATTAAGTGTAAGCAAAGTATTTTCCCTATGAATAACAATGAATCCATGAAGTTTTCCTGGAGAAAGAAAGCAATATTGTGAACCTACAGAAGGAGAAAGAAGAACTAAATTCTTAAAGCAGCGTGCAATTAGTTCCTGCCTCCAGCAACATTTTTGCAAAAGAACATTTCACTGTTGATGTATTCGATTTCATTCCCTCCAGTAAAGAAACTTAAGGCATGTGCAGACTGACTGGGAAATCACATCAGATGGAATTATGATCCTATTGGTCAAGTTTCAAAGGCTTCACATGTAACTGAAGTGTAGGAAGAAAGAAATTTCCCACAAACTCAAAAGGTCTGAAAAATCTGTAAATATTTTGAGGGCCATTATAAGCCACAGATGTTATCAACAGCCAGGATTGTGCAAACTTTAAAAAGACCTCGTCCACAAATGAGGCTGCTTCGAAAATAGATTTTAAAACATTTGCAAGGAGCCCAAGTGAATTTCCCTTTGAAATGTTGTAAATGGTTCATGCTTTATTTAGAGTAAGAAGCAATCGGCTCCACTGGGCTTCTTGCTTATGATGCTATTTCTACCGCACATGAAATTGTAGGAAACCTCCAATTAACAGTCAGAAATTAAGGGACAAGAGAGAGAACTTGAAAAACAAGTGAAGAAAGAATCACTAATTAAAGACAAAATCTGGGTGGCCTGGTGTGATGGCCAGGGAAGAGAAGCTTCTGGAATGTGCCTTGTGTGGCGACCGGTGGGAAATTCTAGTCGGCTAACACTTGCTGATTTCCATGAAGGGAGAAGCAGATTAGAAACTGAGCAAGTGCAGAGCATCTGTGCGGATCCGTGATTGCATTTGCAGCCCCACTCACCAACTCGGAAAAAACCTGGGATGTCAGCACTAGCTGACATAATGGTTACAAGATGAAGCTGGTTGGCAGAAAACCTTCCTGAGTGAATTAAAATCCTGACTCTGGGCCCTGGGGGAGACAAGAGAGTGTGGGTGAAATTGGGAACTAGCCATGCTTTACCCAGGGAGTGAAAAGACCCTAACTTCGAGTCATTTTTTAAATTATAGAGTTTTAGTGATCTAATTATATCCTAATTATAATGATGACCCTTCCTTCCTTCAAGGGACTCGAGCATGCTTCTGAAATATTCTGTGTAAGTCCTATCATTTGCTGTTTGAAAGTAGATGTTGGTGAATCTCAGAGTGAATTAAAGCGACAGATCTGGCATCTGACTCCCAGATCAGCTTCCTCTGACCAGACCACACCGACTCCCAGCTCTTGAAATAACCCCCAGTGGAATTCTCCAGGAGGAAGCCATCTCCCCAATTAGGCAAAAGTCGTCCTCCTCCTCCCTTACCCCCTCCGGCCTCTGTGGTTTCCACATTCCAACATGCAATCCATTTTCTTTTTCCATCCCAGCCAAGCAACTGCAACCTCCAAGCACAAAGGCCATGGTCTCATTTGTGAGGCTCGTCCATAAACTCACACGGCTGGTCAGCTCAGTGCCCAGGGATACAGACTGGCTTCCCTTCAATCCTAACTTGATGCCACAGGGCAAGTCACTTAACCGCCTCATTAGGATCACAGTCATGGCCCTGCCATGGCCTCCTTCCCTGGTACCTAGTCACCCCATTAATATCTGTAAAAATCCATTAAACCTTCCAGCTGAAAGGTGCCATAAAAGCTAAGCCTATTACTATTATCATCAATAAACTCCTAGGCACTCTTGCCTGTCACCACCTGAGGTAAATCAGTCACCCAGGTGGAGAGAAAACCAGGCACCTCAGGCCTATCAGCCCCCTAATGAGCCATCTGCAGCCATAGAAATGTCCAAAATTGACTCTGCCAGCAGCTCCCATTCCAGAAAGGAAGAGAGCCAATGCTTTAATTTGGGACAGTGAATTTAAACTGTTAGAATCCCCTGGTCTCCGAGGCACACACAGTCCCTGTGGCTTGGAGGGCTACTCCAACCCTGCCCTGGACCCTCACCTTGAGTGTGGGGCTGAGAGAGGACTGCAATGTGCAGTCCTTCCCCACTTGGGCGAAGGGGAAAGAACACTGTCAGAAAGCAGCTTGGAATCCAGAGACAGTGGGCATTCCCTGCTGGCTATTTAAAAGACATCTCACCTCCTGCCTCCCTTGGGAACCGCCAGCAAGGCCCTGTCCTCTCTTGAAAACAGCCCTCCATTCAAACGCCAGACAAACTCACTGGGGCACCATCTTGAAAAACCCAGAACTGAAGACACCATGTGTGTCCATCAACAGGGAAGAAATAAATACACATCAGTACGGCATCATACTATGCTGCTGTTAAAAAGAATTAAACAGACAAAGCAACGATTTAAAGAGCATTGTATGGTATGGCCCTTGACACAGGTGTGTGCTCCCCTCAGAGGAGAGAGGGAAGGGAGACGTGCTGCTCCCAGCAAACCCCTGGGCATCTTCTGAATTTTCATCCACGCGCACACCTCACCTATTCAAAATAACGTTTACAACTGATCCTAAATTAGACAGAGGCAATGGATCTTCTGAGATGTTTCAGTGATCTATTGAAACTGTTAAAGGGGAGAGCCTCTCGACCTCAGAGATCCTAATTGTCAAGTTGGGGGAGATCTTTTTGAGCAATATGGACGGAAACGTGCTTCATTCAGGAAGAAAGTGTAGAAAAAAGGATAAGATGCCACCAGCCAGGTCTCATTCCCTTCTTTGTCCTTCCTACAACCTCAACAGAAAAAACACCTACAGGGGTCTGAATTAAACAGCGGAAGTTAATCTGCACTGATTATGGACACTAGGCATAACTAGGACTAAGGGCACCGTTCCTGTTCCACTCACCCTCTGGAAGTCTTGCCTGCTGCTGAACCTTGAGCCAGATGTTGACACGCTGACCCCGGGCCCCCAGGGCCTCCACCTCCCACAGGCGGCCTCGCTCCTCTGGATGGGCCAACAGGAACTGCCTACAGACTGAGAGAGAGGAGCACGAGCATAAGTCAGAGGACTCTCGCCTAACCCTGGTTCACTCCGGGCCAGCTCTCCCGTGTCTGCAGACTCAGGCAGCTTCCAATTCCTCCTGCAGCAACCCCAGCTCGCTGCTCTGATCCCCGCTACCCTCAAACCACTCTCTCAGCAACCTCTCATGGACACAGAATTCTCACCTGCTCATGGGGGCTCCCATTCTGTACTGGTTCTAATAAAATACAGTTGTCCCGTGGCAACCAAAGGGGATTGGTTCGCAGGAGCCACTGAAGACACAAAATCCAAAGTCCATACAGTTGCATTAAATAGTATGGTCTTTTCATGTAACTATGCACATCTTCCTATAGACTTTAAATCATCTCTAGATGATCTTTAGTACCTAATGCATGTAAATGCTATATAAATAGTTGTTATAGTTGTTACAATCCATGATTGATTGAATCTGCAAATTTGGAACTTGCAGATATGAAGGGCTGACTATACCACAGAAATTCATATGACAGAAGTTTATTTCTCACAGCTCTGGAAGCTGGGAAGTTCAAGACCCAGGTGTGACAGGTTTGGTTTCTCCTGAGTCTCTTCTCCTTGAGAATTGCTGTCTTCTCCCTGTGTTCTCACATGGCTGTTTCTATGTATAGAGATCCCTAGTGTCTCTCTCTGTTCTTAAAAGGACACCAGCCATATTGAATTACGGGCCTACCTGCAGAAGCTCATTTCACTTTAGGGACCTTTTAAAGTCCCTACATCTCCAAGTACAGTTACACCACAGGCTTCAACATTTGGAGGGACACTATTCAGTCCTTAATGCCATCCCACTTAGGGTTTTTGTTGTTGTTGTTGTTTTGTTTGTTTGTTTTTGTTTTTGGCTGAGGACTGAACTCAGGGACACTTAACCTCTGAGCCACATTCCAAGATATGGGATCTCACTAAGTTGCTGAGGTTGGCTTTGAACTCGCGACCCTCCTCCCTCAGCTTCCCAAGTCACTGGGACTACAGGAGTGCACCACCATGCCCAGCTCCATCCTTCCTCCTTGACCAGCCTCCTCTGCCTTCCTTCCTCTCCCATGGAAGCTTCCAAACTCATTGTCCACAGACTCCTGGATTCCAGAGGCCCCTCAAGGCACACTGACTTGTGAGCCCATGTTCATAGGATGAGCATCTTCACATGATAGTGCCCCGACTCCAGGCAAATGATAAAATGCTTCTGGTTCCGAAGGTGTCCATGGGGACTTCAAGTCTGCTCCTAACCTTTGAATGGTCCAGGGCAAGAGTGCAGGTGGAAACATACAGAGCACAATGCTATTATAAAGGTGGAAATTGTGCCAGGAAAGTGGTAGATCTCACATGTTCTGCCCTCCTTGCTGACAAATATAACTTCCTAACAACCGAGAAAGCCAGTTTTAAATTTAGAATTCTTGGACACCTTGGAATTGTGCATCAGAATGTGGCAACACAGGAGAGCCAGCCTCCAGCCTCCAACCCACTGCCTACCCGGCCTCCTCCCACTCACCCCCACCCACACTCCATCCACATCCCACCAACAGCCATCCCTGGGGCCGACAGTTGTGCAGATGGGTGCCGTGGTTCACCAGCATGGGCACAGATCCAGGGATGGAGTCAGGCCCTCAGCAACACTGGCAGGAATTTGGGGGTTCTGATATTCTGAGTGGGTTTAGAGGGAGCGATATAGACAGGGGTGGGCACATCCCCTTGAGCCCATGGAGTCCTCAACCCATGGAGAGGGACGCAGCAGAAAAAGGACTCAAAGCCTGGAGCTCGGAGCAAAAGTCCCTCTTGTCCAGCTGGAGGGCAAGACTGCACTCAGTAAAAGCCGGACAGCGGGGTGTGGGTGGCTGAAACCCCGAGAGAAATGTGATTCAGAATCAGCCCTTTCAAGTGTTTGCTGATGGAGACACAGGAGGGGCAGTGGGGATCCATAGCACTGGCCCTTGCAACATGGGATCTTTGGCTTCTTTAGCAAGATAACCTGACATCCTGAGGTGGCCTGCACTGGAAAGACCTGCTTTCTCTGGAGACCCTTAGGGGGCCTGCACCAGGGCAGGGCAAGTCTCTCCAACAGAGGACTCAGAAGCAAGAATGAGGAGAAGAGATTGGCAGGGTGTGGATGTAGATGTAGGACCAGCTTCCTGGGCCCCAGAACTCCCCAGCACCGGAAAGTGAGCTGCACAGTGCGGGCATCCTTGAGCACTCTGCAGAAACTCAAGGCTCTCCAGAGTTTAATAATAATAGCCAAAGGGTCTGAAAAATACCAAGAAACAACTAAACCCACTTGAGGGAAAAATCGTTTGTGCCTGCTTTCTTTGTGATTTCAGAGCAGGAGAAGTTTATTTGCCTTTCCAACTTTCCTGTCCATTGTTCTCTTCATACCAGAAGGACCCTGGAAACTCAATACTAAGGATTCAAAAACATCTGAATGACACAAAGTGAGGCAAGGCCAAATTGAGCTAGTGTCCTTTCACGAGGTGACAAGGGGACCTGAAGAGATCTCTCCAGACACCCACTCTTACTGACTCAGAGTGATGTCTAGCAATTGAGTTTCCTCTGGCAAATGCAAACAAAGAATAGAAACCACTTGGAAAGAGATGCAGTAGGGTGATCGTGGAGGAGGGTGAGGCCTTCTTTTGTGGTGAGGGTGTCAGGGATCTTGGAACTCACTGCATGTGCAGTGTCTTTCCATCATCTCCCGCCTGCCCACAGCTCCTGGACTCTCCCTGTGGCTTCTAGTTCAATGGACAAAGTGATGAACTATAAGCTTCAGTTGAATGAGCCGAGTTACTGGGAGGATCCCGGCAGCAGTTCCCTGGATTCCACTTCTCCCTGAGGTTGATGATTTGTTTCTGATTACAGATGGTCCTTGACTTACAATGAGGCTGCCTTCCCCAAACACATCAGAAGTTGATAATTTGAAAATGCATGTAATACTCCTAACTGACTGAACCTCACGGCACAGCCCAGGCTACCTTAAACGTGTTCCGAACACTTACCTCAGCCTACAGCTGGACGAGCTCATCGAACACAAAGCCTATTTTATAATGAAGTGTGGAATATCTTGTGCAATTTATTGAACATCTGTATCCAAAAACCACTGGCAACACAGCCTCCTGTAGACTCTTGACTATTTGCCCTAGCCATCACGTGGCTGATGGGGAACTGCGGCTCACTGCCTGTTCCCACCGTCTCAAGAGACGGTATGGGACCACATACTGCTAGCTCAGGAAACATTAGAAATTCAAAATTTGAAGTACACATTCTACTGAATGTGTATTGCTTTCACACCACTATAAAGTAAAGAAAAAAAAAATCCTAAGTCAAATCATCATGAGTCAGGGATCATCTGCATATTCAAATCCACTTCCCAGGTTGGGAAAGTTTTAATCCTAGAGATCAAAAATGAGGTCTCTGTGCTAAAACTGTGGAAGACTTCTCAGGAGGGAGGCAAAGCCAAGGCTTGCTGTGCCCCAGAGGGCTCCATCTGCTCAGAACCACCTAGAATGCACACGTGTTATTCACCACTGTTACCCAAATCCCATCACACACCATGCAGTGGGCTGACCTCCGTACATGGCAGGAGAAATTGGGCAACTGAGCCCCAGGGCATCATCTTCTCGGAAAGTATCACAGAAGTCCTGCAGCATGGCTGTCCCTAGACCTTGGCGACGATGTTTCCTCCTGACAAACACAGTATCGAAGACAGGCAGCAGATAACACGCACCAGCGCCATTGCCACACAGGCTGCCTGCAGGGGAAGCAGGAGACACACATTGTTTCCTGGGCTGGATGCTGCTCCACCAGGACCCTGTGGGACCCTCGCACAGCCAGCGTCATTGATATCACCTGGAAGCAGAGTTAGTTTCACAAGCTAAACAACTGGCGCTAAAACAGCAGACGATTCCAAACCACCAGACTCTAGTTGACCCCTATTATTAATTGCTACAAGGGCAGTCCCTGGACCACTGCACTGAAGTGAAAAGCAAACCTGGGAGACTGAGCGGAGCAGGTGGCTCATGTACCCAGACTCTTCAGATCTCTCCCTTCACCGAGACCTTCAGAGCCAATGACAATTATCTGAAAAACATCAAAGCCCTCTTTGGAAAAATGAAACCTGAAGCCAGAGGATGTGGGCTAGGAGACCATCCCAACCTATCTCCAGAGTATGGACAAAAAGGACTCACCATGTCCCTTTATAGCAAAATGCACGCACTTCCTATATCCACACCCCTCTGCATGTGATTTTGAAGTTCTTCTCCTCAAGAGATGGGGTCTGTTTCCCTCCCTGCTATAGTCTAGGCTGGCAACAGGGAGAGATCTGAAGAGTCTGAGCAACAGAATAAGGCCAAGTAACAATACACCAATTCTGAGCCTGTCCCTCAGGCATTCGGTGTCTGTTTACCACCCACCACAAAAATAAGCCCAGGCCAGAGCTGGGGTTGTGGCTTAGTGGCAGAGTGCTTGCCTAGCACATGTAAGGCACTGTGTTTGATCCTTAGCACCACATAAAAATAAATTTAAAAAAATAAAGGCATTCTGTGAGATGGACATCATTACCCCAGGTACTTCTATGACTGCACATATGGCGTGACACTACCTCTTGTACAACCAGAGAAATGTAAAGTTGTGCTGGAATAATGAATCAAAATACATTTTGCTGTCATGTATAATACCTAATTTTTAAATTTTTTTTAGTTTTGTTATATGAAAATAAATAAAATTTTTAAAATAAAATAAAGGCATTCTGTCCATCTGCAACTACAAAAAAAAAAAAAATTTAAATAAACCCAGGCCAGCTTGATAACATGACAAAAACATGGCTCAGGCATCTTGGTGGTCCCAGCCAACCTCAAGCCAGTTCCAAGAACAAAGCCACCTACCTGGCAGGTAGTTACCATGAACACATAGCAAGTCCAGCCAAGACCAGAAAACCACCCGCTGAGCCCAGCCCAGAATATCAACCCAAGGAATTGTTAGTTAAATAAACATTTATGTCAAAAATGAATGAGTAGAGCAACCAGCTTCTCAGGAGTTTTAGATGGGAGGATTGAGAGAGAGTCCAAGGCCAGCCTGGGCAGCGTAGTAAGAACCTGTCTCCTGCAGATGCAGCTCAATAGTGGAGCACTTGCCTAGTATGTGCGAGGCCTAGGTTCAACCTCTAGTACTGGAAAATGGAAGAAAGAAGGAAGGGAGGGAGGAAAGGGGAAGCGGAAAGGAGAGGACATAATCTATGTCTAACAAGGAACCTCAACTCACTTGAGACTGTAATTGTAAAATATTTGTAATTTCAGCCTCAACATGCTTGAGAAGATAGTATCAACTTGTTTGAAATTCTATGACTTCAATTGACAAAAAAATGAGAACAATGTCCCCCTAATGTTAAGTTTCCAAAGCTGAGAAAGTGTAAATTTATATAAAGAGGCGAGCATTAAAACACAGTAAATACTTAGGAGTATATTTAACAAAACAAGTGCAAGCCTTGAGCAGTAAAAAGTACAAGTTATCTGAGGGAAACAAAAGAGCTAAATGAGAGAAATTCCATGTTCACTGATCAAATTACCCAATTCTGTTCCCATGACAATTCTTCCCAAACTGATCTATAATGCTAGCCCATCAAAATACCAGCAGGCTTTTTCGTGAAAATTAACAAGCTGATACTAAGTTTTACATGAAATGCAGTCTCTTGGAATAATCAAAATAACTTTGAGAAAGAGCAAAGTCAGAATCCTTCCACTACCCAATTTCAAGCCTTTGTCAAATATTGAATTGAGTATTGAGTAGTGGCTCAAAAGCAGATCAGTGGAACAGACCTGAAGTCCAGAAATAAACTCCTATGCTTCAATTTTCACAAAGGGGAAAGGACAGTCTTCCAACAAATGAGGCGAGATGATTGGACATTCATCCACAGGAAGAAAATGAATGTAGACACAGACTCTTCACACACACAAAAAAAAATTAACTCAGATTGGATCATAGAACTAAATGTGAAAGCGAAACTATAAAAACTCCTAGAAGATAACATTGGAGACAACTGAGGATGACCTTGGGCATGGCAATGACTTTTTAGATACAACATTAAAGGCAAGATCCATGAAAGAAAAAGTTGACACAGTGGACTTCAGGATACAGGATGTCTGTGAACAGAGGAGTGAATAATGGTTTTAGTGTGGAATTAAGTGATGATTGGAAAAAGATTCTCTTCCCAGACTGTGGCTCTTCTTTCATTGCTGTGACTTTTATAACAGCCTACAGAATGACAGCACATCTCTGCAAAATCTCACTTCAGGAGGAAGGGATTTTTTGTTGAAATAAAAGAGTGTTTTGCAAGAAAAAAAAGAAGAAGAAATAGAATGTCTGCTTGTGAAAGGCGTCATCACAAGAATAAGAAAACAAGCCACAGCGTGGGAGAGATCACATGAAAATGGCACATCTGATGAAGAACTGTTACCTAAGCCAGGCTTGGGGGACACGCTTGTAATCCCAGAGACTTGGGAGGCTGGGGCAGGAGGATCCCAAATTCAAGATCAGCTCTCAGTAACTTAGCCAAGATCCTAAGCAACTTAGAGAGACCCTGTCTTAAAATAAAACATAAAAAGGGTTGGGGATGTTTCTCAGTGGTTAAGAACCCCTGGGTTCAATACCTGGTACCAAAAAAAAAGTATTAGGTAGTTTTTTAAATGAAGTTGAACCCTCACCTCACGTCATACACAAAAATTAATTCAAAATGGAGTATAGACATAAATGCAAGAGCTAAAACTGTTAGTGCTTTTAGGGAAAAAAGCAGGAAAAAAATACACAATCTTGGGTTAGACGAAGAATTCTTAGAGTCAACACCAAAAGCATTCTTGATTGACAAATCTAACTTGATCAAAATTTAAAACAATCTTTTGTGTCGAAACACACCACCAGTAAAGGGAAAAGCCAAGCCTCAGGCTGCAAGAATATGTTTGCAAATACCATTTGTGATAAAAGGCTGTAGCCAGAATAAAAGACTCTTACAATTCAATAAGAAAACAAATAACCTCATTAAAAATGGACAGAAGATTTGGACAGACATTTCTTCAAAGACGACATTCACATGGCCAATTGCCAATGAAAAGCTATTCAATACCACTCGTCATTAGGGAAATGCAAGTTAAAACCGCAATGAGATGCCACTTTGAGCCTCCCAGAATGGCTAGAATCAAAAAGACAAGCAATAATAAGTGTTGACAAGGACATGCAGGAAACTGGAAACCTCAGATATTGCTGATGGAAGTTCACAGTGGTGCAGCCGGTTTGTGCAATCACTTGGCAGTTCCTGAAAAAGTTAAACATAAGCTTACCAATTAATGGAGCAAGTCTACTCCAGGGAACCTAACTAAAAGAAATGAAAACACATTTCCACACAGATGTGTAGGTGAATATTTATAGCCACATTATTCATAATATTCCCAAACTGGAAACAATCCATCCGCTGATAGATCCATAAGCAAAATACAGTATAGTCACACAGTGAAATATTACTCAGCAATAAAAAGGGATGAAGTACTAACAAATGCTACAATTTACATGGACCTGGAAAACACTAAGCTAAGTGAAAGAATCCAAATGCCAAAGACAATATATCATATCATTGCATTTAGGTGAAATGTATAGGAAAGGCTAATTGGTAGGGGAAAAAGGCAGATCAGCGGCTGCCTAAGGCTGCAACGGAAACAGACTAACACCACAGAACACTTAGCAGGATAACAGAAATATCCTAAGACAGGACTTTGGTGATGGTTACACAACTATCTATATTTGCTAAAAAAATAAAATAAAATAATTGAATTATACACTTGTGATTGGTAAGTTTTACAGGATAGAAAATTTTACTTTGATAAAATGGATATTAAAAAGTCACAAAGAGAACGTGCACAGTAGGGTGACTAGAGTTTATAACAATTTATTGTGTATTTTATAAAGAAAAGAGTGAAGTTTAAAGGTTCCCAACACAAAGAAACGATAAATGTTTAAAGAGATGGAAATGCTAATTACCTTGATCTGATCATTACACATTTTGTATACATGTTATCAAATATCATACATACCCCATAAATATGCATCATTATTATTATGTGTTCATTTTTAAAGCTATATTGAATTAATATCTTCAAAATATTTTAACAGATCAAGTATAAAAAGGGAGAAAGAGTAATTTTACAGTGGAGAAACTCACAGGACTCCCACCTTAATTGAGGGACCAAGGTTATCACTACCCTTAATGAGATGTCACGCACCCTGCCCTCTGATATATAAGAATATATCTGTGCTCTCCTGTTCCCCAAGCCTATAACTCCAGTCTAATCATGAGAAAACATCAGACAAACATAAATTAAGGGACATTCTAAAATCACCTGACCAGTACTCTTCAAATGTATTCAAATGACGAAAAAACAAGAAATGGTCACAGACTGGAAGAGGAGACCCAGGTGACCTGAAGAGCAAATGCCTCGAACTGTTCGGGGTCAGGGACCAGAAGAGAAGGAGGATATGAGAAGGAAATTAACTGATGCTATTTTTTTGTTTGTTTGTTTGTTTGGGACATTGTACCACAGCTACGTGAGATGTGGATATTAGGGAAGATGGGTGAAGGGCACACAGAGCCTTTCTGAACTTTCTTCATAACTCTTCTATATATCTAAAATCCCCTCAACATGAACAGCCAGAATAGGTTTTATGGATTCATGTATTTTATTGGACCAAATCTATAAAATCTATAAAACT